TCTTCAAGAAAAATAATATGTTTGCACCACTAATTAAAACCAAATGAGAGACACGGGTATCTACAGAGCATTCTAAGTTTAAATGAGCACAAAGGTTTATTATAAAGAAGGATTTATTCCCACCTGTGCTATACCATGGCTGTCTGAAGCAAATCATCAGGCTTGGCAAAGTCTTCTGCAAAAACTGATGAGATTCTTTGCTCCTTTCTACCCAGGCTGGAGTAACAAATTCTGTCATCCACAAACTCTGCACACAAAACACAAAGGTAAACACTGCCAGGGCACACTGAGAGGTCAGCACGCTGTTCCCTCTTGCTGCACTGTGCTGGTGTGGGCTGAAAGTGGAGTTAACTTTCTTCACAGTGGTTAGTATGGGGCTGTTTTTAGGATTTGTGCAGGGCACAGGACTGATAATGTAGAGATGTTCTTGGTATTGCTGAGCAGAGCTCACACAGAGCCAAGGCCTTTGCTGCTTCCCACACTGGTGATGTGCATGGCAGCCTGGGAGGAGACACAGCTGGGACAGGTGACCCAAACTGACCAAAGGGATATTCCATGCCATAGGACATCAGTATATAAGGTAGGAGGAAGGGGGGAGATGTTTGGAGTGATGATGTTTGTCTTCCCAAGGAACTGTTACAGGTGATGGTCCCTGCTCTCCTGGAGATGCTGAACACCTCCTGCCCGTGGGAAGCAGTGAATTAACTCCTTGTTTTGCTTTGCTTGTGTGTGGCTTTTGCATTCTCAATGAAACTGTCTTTATCTCAACCCATGAGTTTTTCTAGCTTTTACCCTTCAGATTCTCTCCCCATCCCATTGGTGGGGCAGTGTGTGAGCACCTGTGTGGTTCTTGGCTGCTGGCTGGGGTTAAACCATGACACTGACCTCCAGCCTTCCACACACACCTGGCATTTATTTTGAGGCATGGAATTAATTTGATTCAATGGCAATTAAAACCCAGCACAAGAATATTTACACTGAGACTTGGGTAGACATTGCAGACGACATAAATGAACAGATGTGTTTTTCACAGAAGTAAAATTCTGAGGGAAAGTAGAAGTAAAGTGCCAAAAATTAATGTTAGACTTTCTTAGCATGATTGATGTTTGCTGCATGATTGTGAGGATGCTCTTTTCCAGTCTTCAGGCAGACCATTTAATGGTGCAGAACTGATGACAACAGCAGTTTCAGTACACAAAAACAGCTGTTCAAAGCCACACAGATTATAACATGCAAATCTCATACCTATTGTTGTATGAGAACTGGAGCTGTGACCACAACCACATGCTTTTTATCCCAGCCTGCTGGTTGTTCCTGCTGGAGAAAAGCTGAGCTCCTGCTGTGTGGAGCAGGTAAGGAACTACACAAACTTGACAAGTTTGGTCCATTTTGCTGTTGGTTTTCCTCCTGGCTAATCTGTTGAGCCACTTGAGGGACAGCAGGCATTCCACCTGCAGAGAGACTCTAAAAGTTGCAATTTCTGTAAATAAAATACTGAAGCAGCAAAAAAGAAGCACATAAAGTGGTAATACAGCCTGTTACATAGCTGGTCAAATCCACTCTCCACCATACCCCAACACAACTGCCTGGAAGTTCTGAGGATGCAAATGCATCAGCAGATCAGTCTAGGATGTACTCACCCACCTTCAATCTGACAACAGGGAGATCTTTGTTAACAGCATCCTACAGAGAGTTGCTAACTAGGCAACCAGTCCCTGTCAGGGTATCAAATGATCAAGAGGGGAAAATTTCATGCAACAACATTAATTAAGGAAAGCAACAAATTAGGCTCAGAGGGTACAAATTCAAACCCAGTGCATGGAAAATGAGACATGCAGAGCTCACTAGGATGGCTAAGATTTTCTCCAGAGGGTTTTTAAAATGTTTCATAATTGGTATAAGATATAATGTTACAATTACAGAAAATCTCATTAAAGCAATTATCTTTAATTACAAAGCTTAGAACTTATACTTAACTGTAAATCATTACTATATGTACTAGCTGTACCAGCATTATTTTAAAGGTCATGAGTTTTTTTAACTGTTATCAGAACTAATTATGAGTCTCTGTGTAGTACTATTTTTGAAATGAAATAAAATTAACCTAATAAAGTATCTCATTATCAATAAAACGGTGCATTGAACTCTCACTTCCAGAGCTCTAGCCACATTTATCTGATTTAACTTTTACATTCTCTTTATTTTGCTATGAAGTGCTTTTTATGGTCACGGAATTGCTTCCTGCCCAGCTATAAAGGGAGTTGCTCTCAATGGTCACTGACCTTTTAACTCCAATTAACCACTTGAATTCTTTACCATCCCAGTAGATTTAGCCAGTTGCTTTATCTCTTGCTCTCAGACCCCAAGGTTTTCCTGCAGCACATCCCGAGGCTGGACTAGGTATGGTTGTACTTTGAAGACACAGGACAGTGTCTTCATCTTGAAAAACCTCCAGGGATGGTGAATTCCATTCCAATGTCTGATCACTCTCTCTGTAAAAAATCTCTTCCTAATATCTAATGTAAACCTCTCCTGGCAGAGCTTGAGTCTGTGCCCTCTTGTCCTGCTGCTGGTTGTCTGGGAGAGGCGCCTGCACCACCCAGCCCCGCCCCGCCCTGCTCGGGGGCCGCCAGGCGCCCACCTCTGACCCCACCGGGTGTCCCGTGTGCCTCTGTGCCCACCCCGACCTGCCCCACACGCAGGGGGAGCCGCCAGTCCCGGGGGCAGCAGCGACTTCATAGCACCATAGGATTCAGGGGTTGGGATGGAGTTTAGAGATCATCCAGCCCCAACCCCCTGCCCTGGGCAGGGACACCTCCCACCACAACAGGTTGCTCAAGGCTTTCTCCAACCTGGCTTTGAACACTGCCAGGGCTGGGGCAGCCACAGCCTCCCTGGGCAACCTGTGCCAGTGTCTCACCATCTTCTCAGACAAAGCAACTAATATCCTACCTCAATTTCCCCTCTTTCAATTTGTATCCATTGCTCCTTGTCCTGTCCCTGCAGTTCCTACCCAGGAGTCCCTCTGCAGCTTCCCTGGAGCCCCTTCAGCTCCTGGCAGGTTGCTCTGAGGTCTCCACACAACCTTCTCTTCTCCAGGCTGAACAGCCCCATCTCTCTCAGTCTGTCCTTGTAGGGAAGGTGCTCCAGTGCTCTGAGCAGCTTCGTGGCCTCCTCTGGCCTTGCTCCAACAGTTCCATGTCCTTCCTACATTGAGGGCACCAGAACTGTATTCCAGGTGGTCTCACGAGAGCAGAGCAGAGCGGAAAATTTCCTGGGAAATACATCCCATTCCCAGCTGGGAACATCCCAGTGCATCCCACCCCAGCTGCCATGTGGGGCTCCCACAGGGCTCATCATGATGTTCTGCCCTTTAGCACAGCTCAGTGTTTCACAGTCTGTGTTAGCACTTACACCACCTCTGAGTATTGCATTTATCATTTTATTCAGCACCTGCACTGAAATACCAGATTGATAATCCCCTGGAAATAACAGCACACAGACCAAGCCATGAGCAATACCCTGTCTTTTCAATCATTATCATTGTTTTCTCCAAAGGTATCAATAGAACTTCTTGATTTCAGCTGAGATATATGTCACAGTTTCAGAGTATTAATTATAAGCAGATAAAGGTGTTTTTTTTCAGATTGAAAGGCATAGAAAGAGCTTTGGATAGAAGATAATGCAGAGTAGGTGAATAGTATGGACAGTAGGTCAAGTCAGGGATACAAATGAAAATCTAGGCAGAGTCCCTCTCCAGAGCAGTTCTACACACTTAGACACTTGCTCTCATAACATCAAACAAGGCCTTCACAGTAAAATAAAAAGCTCCAAATGAAAATGCAGATGAAGTAAAAAAGAAAATCCTTTTTTTAAAGGACATCTGTGCTCTGGGGGAAAAAAAAAACAAAAAACCAAAGCAACCAAAAAAACCCCAAATGAGTAATTCCAGGAGCCATAAAATCAAAGGTTTTGGCCAGAAACCACTGAATGAAGTCACAAAGATTTAACTTCTTATTTTCAGGTCCCACACAGACTCAGCTAGGGAAGTATCAAGCACTTGTACCAATACACAAATGCTTGGAGAGTTTTCCCAGCCCTTCTGGGGTGCTCTGAGGGTGGGGCCAGGAGAGCTGCTGCTGCTGTCAGCTCTTCCATCACCTCCACAGAGAGTTGGAAACAAGAACCAGAAGTTACAGCACTGTTAGGGAAAGGAGCACCAACTCCAGAGTATGTAGAATCCCACCCAGACCACAGAAAACTAAACTCAATTCCCAAAGGATGGCAGTGCTTCCCACATCACTGTACACATTCCTCTGTTCTGAGCAGCTTGATGGGAATGAAATGAAGAGTTCACACACACAAAGGCTTGATTAAAGCCCAGAGGAACTCAGCACCATTTCTTTGACACATGCCAAGTTGATTCAACTCTGAATCTAACAGGTGGCTCAAGAGCATTTCTGGGTTTAGTGGACACTAAACCAGTAGCAACACCTTCAGTGATCCAGCACAGGTAACACCAGCTCATGACTGCACCCCCTGAACTGCAGCCCTAACAATCTGCACCTTCCCCTCACATCTCAATACAGGGGTGTGAAACGATACCTCAGACAGTGAAGGCCAAATTACACGTGGAGCTGTGGATCTACACCCTCAAATGTGCCCAAGCACGAGGGCAACACTGGGAGGATGACATCTCCCACAGAACAGGTCTCATCTTGGAAAATATGGTTCACCCAAGTTCCAAAATGAAGCCTTCTCACTGAGTAAGGAATCATTTCTTTTCTAGAAAACATTCTAGAAAACATTCTAGAAAACACAGAAATTGCTTCCACACCAAAAGAGTTCACAGCAGTCAGTATGATAATGAGTTCCTAACCTATGCATGTTATTCCACAGGAAAATCATGGATGACATGGAAAATAAAAGCTTGATGGTATTCAGAGATTCAGATTAAGTAAAGATGAATGATAAAAAAATAATCAAAAGCTCACGAGTCTTAACTTCATAATAAAGAGTGTATTAAAATGATCTGCCCCATCTTTATGTTGAGATTAAACATACTAAAATACTATTTTCCAAGTAAACATAATAAAAACATTATTCAAATAGCAGTTAAGATATCCTGCATGTCCAGATTCTTTGAAAGCTTCTTTCTTGGTAAACTGTTTTCAAGTATATCAGTCAGGTGAATGGGTCAGTGGTATAAAAAGCTTCTGTTTTTCCTCCTGCACTGTCTTCCCCACCCAGTTTCTCCTGGGTGTCCAGTTCTTGCTCTGCAAGCAGCAAACTCCTGCTTTACTGGATTCTTGGGTTTAGAAAGGCCACTTTTTTTGTAGACAAAGGGAACTGCAAGCAGCAAAGGGTCCCACATCCAACATCTGGCTCAGTCAGAATCATCACCACAACCATCACTGCCCTCGAGATCACTGCTGTTCTGCAAAGTGAAATGGAAAGTGGTTTGTCAGTGTTACACTTACAGCTAGACTGACCAAAGTCAAATCAAGTGACTTTAAACTGCTCCAAAAGTGTAAGAAAATGGCTCTGGATCCCAGACTTCATGTCTTAGACACACCCATTGTAATAAACATATGTGGTGGTAAGTGACGCTCCTTGTAGCAAAAGGACATTGGATTACACTCACCAGCAGCAGAAATTTCTTCTCACTTGTATTTACAACTCCATGATTACAGCCTGCAGTGTGTGGGAAACTTCTAAGTGGGGTAAGAACATGAAGTGCTGATATTTACAATAAAAGCAGGTGAGAAGTTAAATGGGTTTTATTCAAGTCCCTCAAAAACTTGCCTAAAGCCAGATCTGAGAATTTTGTCTGCTGCAGAGAATTTATGTCCAATTACAGAGATCCAAGGGCTCACTAATTAATACCTGTTTAAAAATGAAGTCAGATGTACAAAGTGGTATTAGGGAAATATCATAAATGTTAGCAACTCACAAGGAAACTCAAGTCAGAGTTCCTCCCTGGGAGCCACTCCCCCAGGATGGTGCCATAAATCTGGGGGGTTTATGCAATTCTGAAGTAAGTATTTTAACTGATATGACCGACATCAAAGGATTTTGTCAAGAGAAGCTAACATGACACTATTTCCTCACCACCACTTGCTGAAAATAAACTCCAAATCCCATTAATTTAACACTGACAGTTTAATAGCCTACTACAAAACAAATTCCAAGACCAGCTAGCAGAGCCCACTGAAATGCAAACAGCCTGCAAAATCTCAGAGGAGTCTGTCAAATCATCCCTTATTTATCCCTCTCCAGACAGCCTGTGCTAGCTGCACTGCCCAAACTGTACTTGCTGGGGTTGATCTGCAGCAGGCAGATCTGTCTCCTGCCAGGGACTGGGGCAGCAAGTCCTGCCAACACCCCCACCACAACCCCTGAGTGAGGACTCTGCACCACAGTCTCTTGGGGTCCCACTTAACCAGAACTGTTGTCTTTGCCATAACCTCCTGTCACAAACGTCCTCATACAGCTCCACACTGCAGACAGACAATTGCTGCAAGTACAAAAACAACCCTGAGAAGTTTCTCGTGTCTTGTTTGTGCTGTTCAACAAGGCTGTACATTTTATTTCAAGTCTTCAAACTCCTCCTCATACTCAAGCAAAAAAAATGGCAGACAGAATTAAATCTAACATTCTTCAGGGCAGGATCATTATCTGCACAAGATAAAGCTAATTTTAAGGACTCTGTCAAAAAAGGTCATTATTTTCTTCCGAGCTGCACTAGACAGAAGTTTTAGCCCTGCCCAGCATTCCTCCTTCAAGGATCTGCCATCCCTCTGACCAAGAAAATCTGACCAGCAAAGGATGGAGATATGCCCATAATTTCTATTGCCAGTTTATGATTCTGCACATTGCCTCTGCTTAAAGTGTTCCTTCCTCTCTCCTACAACTCCCCCACCTAAAACCCTGCAACACCATCACTGTGTGCAGTTCATTCTTCTATCATCAAGTGCACAAAGACAGAAAAAATAATACACATTTCCTACTCCAGATGACTGTCATCTTTCCATGGCATATTCATGGAAAACAAAACTGTTACTAAGGCAAGAGACATTTCAGCTTGACAGCTTCCATCTGATCAACTGACAGCTTTGACCATTACCTTTGAGCTCTTGTTGTTAGTTTGCATCTCCACAGCAGAGGAGTTGAAGTCGTGAATGGGGAGGGTGTTTAGCCAGTTTGCCATGGATTTCTCCTCCCTTTCTGTGTTGATAATGGTAGGGTAGATGTACTGCTCTTTGAAAACAGCAATCTTCTCCTCCTCCTCTGTCCACTCCAGTGGCTCGTGCAGCCCATCGTTTCCAAACCGCCGGTTGTACTTTTCAAAGTGTACTCGTTCCAAAACCAGCCCAAGTCCAGGGGCTTTGGGGACATCCACCTTCTCCTCCCCCCAGCTGCGCTCCAGGATGGACTCAGCAGCATAACCTTTCACAATAGCTATCACCAGCCCGATCATCTTCCTGATCTGGTGCATCATGAAACTCTGACCTTTCACTTTGATCACTGCAAATTCCATGTTTTCCCTGACAAAGGGCTCTCCACAGTACATCTCCATGATGTACCTCTTGGCACTGGGGTCCCTGGGGCCCTTCTGAGATGTGAAGTTGTGGAAGTTGTGAGTCCCTTTATAGCATGAGAGCAGCTTATTGACCCTTTCAAGGGTCTCTTTGTCCAGTCGATAAAGCTCTTCTTGCACATCATGGTCTTTGTGGGCAAAGGCAAATGTTGGCAGCATGTAAGAGTAGGTTCTGGCATCACATTTGTTCTTGGAGTTGAATCCTCCAGTGACTCTCTTCAGGCCTGGTTTGAAAAGTGACATTAGGTTTTAGAATCAGTAGGTTACAGTGAAAAGTGACATTAGGTTTTAGAAAAGTGACATTAGGTTTTAGAATCAGTAGGTTACTGTGATCAAGCTCCTACCAACAAGAACATGCTTAAAATAAAACACAAACAAAAGACAGCTTAAAATTAGGGCCCACTAAATTTAACAGAAACATGTTAAAACTATAATGGTAAGGGAGAGACCTTCTGCAGGAGAAAGCTTCTCTTTCAAAACATTTTCCCTGACCATTCCAGTATCCTTACCCAGAATTCTGATGTGAGAAGGAAGATGATTATTGATCTTTTCTAAGATGTCATCTATTAGCCTGACCTTCAGTGAGACAATCTGTCCAGCTGCAGACACACCCTATAAAAACCATAAAACACACAAACCCACATAATTATGTACCTTGGAAGTTCTGGGATAGCACCTGCAGAATTGAAACAGCTGAAGAACAAGTTTATTCCCTTTTTTCACTGGTCATTTCAGGTTGCAGTGACTAAGGCAAGGACACAGTCAGTAATCCAAGTCAGAGTACTCCTGGAAGACCTGCTGGTGCTGCACAGCCACACAGCACCTGAGCAACCTCAGAGAGCAAAGCACTGCACTCCCTCCTGGGACACCTCACTGTATGTCACTGCCATTAAGTAAAGTATCAACTAAAAAAGAAGGTATTTATATTTAAGATCATCCACGGACTCCAGCCCAGACTTAAAACCTCACTGTGCAGGCTTAAGAGCAGTTAAACTCTCAAGCATCACATCAACCAGGCAGCAGCCACAATGAGCTGCAGCAGGTTGGGAGGCTGCAGCAGATGCAAGTGACAGAAGCACAAAGCTTAGGTAAGAAGCACAAGATTTACAAACACCATCTAATGAACATCCCGTGCTTTCTAAGTATTTGCCTGTACTTAAGTTTTATAGTGGATGAAAGAAGAAGTTTCAGGCAACACTCGTTTCAGGCTATTCACTCACTGTGAATAGCACTTGCTACTGGATCTCACTCCAGGCAATGCTTTACCAGGCAATCCCAGGAGAGTGGTGGGAGCACACCAGAGTTTATGAGAGCACTAACCAAGGTACCTTATCAGTTCGAGCACAGCGCTGGAAAGACATCTTCTTCATGTCTTCCCCATGGTTTTCTGGAATGCAGCCTGACTGGACAAGGGCAGACACTAAGTCATCTTCAATTGTCTTGAACTGTGAAGATCCCACGTTTCTCTGAAAGAGGATACGTAGTGAAAAAAAAGAAGAAATAAAACAAATGGTAATAACTGGGTAAGTTAAGATGGTAATTTTGTCAATCATTGTTGTGAGACTCTTTAAAAGTCTTCCCTTCACTGTCCTGAGAGCACTGCCATTCTCTAACAAAACTCACTATACCAGAGAAGGTTCATAAAACATCCCACTGATTTAGCTGTTAGTGTTATGGCAAATAAAGGATGATTTCTGATTTCACTGTGCAACACTTCTGGAGTGCTTTTGTGATTTCTTCAACTGCATGAAACAGCACCAATGACACCCTATCCCAGTGCCTGCAAGTTAACAGCTGCAGCTCCAACACAGTCCCTGCAAATTCTGCTTCCAGAAATCAGACTGGGTTCTTTGGCTGAGTTCACCTGAGCTGTTGTAGAATACACACTGGTTTTCTCCACTGACTTCTGAGCTAAACTCTCAGACAAGCTGTAACAGAACTGCACAACTCCATTTGTGTGTGTAAGGCTGCAGAGCTCACAAAAACACACCAACTAGGAAAGCAGCACAGCTGACAGGCACCACAGGGATGTACCCATAAGCATAAGGTTTACTGCTGTAGGACAAATCCACTTTGTTGCATAAGCATGAAAGACTTCCTTCCCTGTCTGTGTGCAATCTTATCAGTTAATCTGGGGAGATTAAAGTATTCCTGAACTGTATGGAGCTTGTAGCACGCTGAGAGAAGCACTGGATGGAGCAGGATCACCCCCTTGCTGCCATCAGGCAGGTCTGCTACTGTGACAAAGCCATCGCTGAAGTCTTGCATCAGTTTTCCTGTTTCTTAACTGCTACAACACATCCCACTAGAGTGCACCAGGAAAATGAGAGTTTAAAATGTCTTCATGTACAGAAAATCTTTTAAAGTGCAAGAGATGGCAATATAGATGCAAATTTGTTTCACTCTGACACACAGCTCAGTTGTCTGAAATCTGAGATAACTTGAGGCCTAACCCAAACGAAACTTAGCCCACTTCTCTGAGCATTAAGCTTCAACACTGCTGGGGAGAAGATCACTAGAGAGCACTTCAGGCTTTGACAGACCTGCACTGCCTGTGCTTCCAGTGCTCTCAAGAGCCTGATTTGCAGCAGTTTTAGAAAGACCTTCTGCTGATGCTCTAAACTAAAGGCAACCTCACTGGAGCCACCAAATACCAGAGACTCTGAAAAATTAAGTTACTACAGAATCCAGGCATACACTGTTCCTGTCCCAGCCTTTCAAGCTGCAACTGCTTCCCTATCCAGTCAGGGAATATAAACCTGACAGAGTCCACAAAAAACAGAAGCAGGCCACATTGCTTTGCCAAACCACCTACCTGCATCCCGTGGTAGCCTTTCCCTGAATATGCCATCAACAACACAATCTTCCTTTTGGGTGTCTTCTTACTCTGATCCTCCCCATCTTCCTCATCTGCATCTGTCTTCAACCTTTTGTTTTGATGCTCGTTTTCCTCCGGCCTTTCAACCACCTCAGTGCTGCTGTTCAGTCTCTTTGTCTGACTGGCAACTGCAGCTCTCAGATCCTCAGCCATTGTACAAACCTGCAGGGAACACAACGGCAGAGAATCATAGGATTTTAGGGGGTGGCATGGAACATAGAGATGATCTAGTCCCAACCTTCCCTGCCCTGGGCAGGGACACCTCCTCACTAGATCAGGTTGCTCAAGGTTTATCCAGCCTGGTCTTTAACACCCCCAGG